TTAAGTGATTCCAAAACAGCATTTGTCTTTTTAGCAGGCACATTACATTTCTAGTTCATGTTTTTTCAGCTGACAAGGACACCCAGATCTTTTTCACAGGTAACTATTGCCAAGCTAGATCCTTCCCACCTCACCACCCCCCTTCTGTACTTGTGTCTTACATCAGCTGCCATGTCCAGGACACTTTTGCAAACATAGCCTGATGAATAAACATTCATGACCACCCACCTCATATTCCAAATCCCTTCTAGCCTAAGAGCAGTGCCTCCTGGCAATATTCTGCTTCCCTCAGGATGTGCCTAATCCTCTAATCACTCCTGGGAAATACAGGCCAGCTAGTTGACAATGAAGTGTCCATTAAACATTAACAGTTGATAATTCTTCAGCTTGCCTTTCTGCTCTTCTGTCTACCCAAGAAAAAGAGAAGTACAGTTCAGTAGCAGAGCACATAGATTGCATATAGAAGATCCATCCTCTATTCCAAAAGCCTCTGTGCTGAAATTCCTAGATTGTGGTTGTTGGTCTGAATAGCAAAGCTGTGCTGGATGGACCGCTAATTTGACCTTCTATATAGGATAGCATCTATGTTGTATGTCATCATGCACTGGAAACAGTCTGATGCCTACTTTCCCACCTTTTTTGGCCCACAAGGCCGCAGCAAGATCATTAACTGTCAAAGATGATAAAGCTATAGATCAGTGGTTCTCAACCTTTTTAATGCCGTGACCCCAACCGGTCGTAAGTCGAGGACTAAACCAGTCGCAAGTCGAGGACTAAACCGGTCTTAAGTCGAGGACTAAACTGGTCGTAAGTCGAGGACTACCCAATCGGTCGTAAGTCGAGGACTTTCCCTGCCCGGGAGCGCTGCGCATGCGTGGTTCCACCCCCTGCGCCAGCCGAGGCGTAGCTGGCAAGCGGCAGAGACGGAGCAGGCCGACCACCAGCTGGCCCAGCTCAAGGGAGGTAAGGCACTCGCCGGAAAAGGGGAAAAAAATGGCGGACAGCCTTGCTTGGCGACCCCCGTGAAATGGTCGATCGACCCCAAATGGGGTCGCAACCCATAGGTTGAGAACCACTGCTATAGATGCATTTACCCTTGAAAACTAAAACAGAATTATATTCCCAGTAGAGATTCAAAGAAGTAAAAGCATAAGGTAAAGCAAAGATAGCTTTTTTCTGTCCAGAAATCAAAGATAGTCGTTTATGTCATGGAATTAATTTTAGAACTGTGTTGTGTTGAGGTGGGCCTTAAATGCTGGAACTCCTGGCCTCCAATTGACCATGCAAAATCTCCTCAGTTTTGATTACAAAAGCCAGTCTAGGTATCCCTGAATGAACCATCCCATCCAAGGTGCAGCCAAGTACTGCTTTCCACATAGAGACCGGCTAAGTGGTTGGACCTCTCCTTCAACTTGTGTATTTCTGAAAACAACATTGGCAGTAGTGGAATATGCTTTTTCTCACCACTGGAGCTTGGCTTTTGAGCATCAAATGTAATAGGTGCTTCATCATGTGGTTCTTGCCTCATGTGAAACCAATGCACAGATTACGGGCCTGGCGTCCAATTAGCTTTGTATTTTGAAGAACTATTTGGAAAAGAACAAGACTTGAAGAAATTGGCAAAATGGATTAGTAGAGTCTGAGGGATGAGGACGTAGCGAACATGGTAGATAAAGAGTGAACACAACATTGCCAGGTGGTTGATACATTGCACAATATGTGGAAGAATTGGAAAGATGGAATTATTTATACATGCGTTACCAAAATCAAATGTTTGGGACTTGGAGGCTACCCATTTAACTTGTATGTTTTAGCGTAGAACCTTTTTCATCTTCATTCTATGTCCTCTGTCATCCTACCTCAAGTAACTTTTTTTGTCAGATTGCCTGTTTGCTACTCTTGTCTTCAATATGGCATACACTTTATTTTTAATATTTTCATTTTTACTGTCCCATTTCCAAGAAAGCATCTCTATCCTGACTGTTCATCCTGGAATTAAAAAGTGGAGCAAAGTTTGCTATAATCAAGCATATCTTTCCCAGGTTATGCAGTTGTATTAAATTCATATTATTGTCTTAGCTTGTTAATAGAAAAGGGGGAAGGTTTTGTTGGGAAAAACAATAACTGGAAGGAACCAAGTTGGGAAATGAAATTATGGTCTACATAAACTTCAGAGATAGATTTGTGGTTTGGTATGCTGGCCACCTGTTTTTATTTCTATGTGGTTAGTAGGTTAGTATTTTCTTCTCAACCACCAAATCTAGTTTCAAATCTTAGGGTCAGTATTCTTTAAAAAAACTCAAAATGATAAACTTTAGATTACATTAAACTTTACATAAAGTTTTATCTGTAGTGCATTCTATTGGGCAGTTTTCTGAAATATAACTCTCACTATTTTACCTTTTTTACTGATAAGAAATCTTGTTATTTAACTCAATACATTTATTAATGCACAAGCTTTTGAGACTTGTAGTTGACTTCATTGGCTGTATGATCTGGAGGCCTCAGGCTAGAAAGGCCACATTTCAGGCTTCGCATATCAACTGTGCATTATGGTATCTGTAATGAACGAAGAAGGAACCAAGCAAAATTAACTATGCCATTATATACTGGTAGTCCCCAACTTACAGGTGTTTGTTTAAGGATGATTGAAAGGCATGACTGCCTTGGACAAAGTGCTTTACAACCTGTACCTGCACTTATAACTGTAGCATCACCTCCGAAGTCATGTGATTGCAGATAGAGTGCTTGGCAACTGGCTTGGATTTATGACTGGTTGCAGCATCTTGCGGTCACTTGATCACAATTTGCTAAATGACTGTGATTTGCTTAATGACTATGCTAAAAATCATTATAAAATGAAGTCCCGTCGCACAATGATTCAACTTATAACCATATTGACTTATGGCTGAAATTCTGATCCCAATTGTGGTTGTAAATCAAGGACTACCTATATATAAACCTATAATTGTTGGAATGGCATTTTCTAATTGCAAATGGAAGGAACTATGCTTGTGAATGATACTACTGCAACTTTCTGCTCATAATTGCAGAATAGTG